GTGGTGATGCGCTGATGCATCCTATGTCGTCAAATGTCCCCCCCCCTCTTCCCTTCGCCGCCCCAAAGCACAGTCCGAGAGTGGTCGAACGGGTTGGAGGCTTCCCAAGGGCAATGTCTCACTTTCATTATAGGTGGGGCTTTCGAGGACGACGACGAGGACGACGACGACGAGCGCGAATGACAAGGGTAGAGGGAAGCAGCGACAGACTCAGGGCTCTGGTTGGGCATGGGCTCAAGGGGTGATGCATCAACCCCCGATCACCCACTGATCGCCGATAGGGGCCCGACAGCCCCGTCCACCCTGGGACCGCAAGGGTTCGCTATCGGAGGCCCATTGCCGATCTATCGGCGATGCATCGCCGCTTCCAGCTCGACGCTGCCCCCCTTCCTGAGCCACTCCCCCCGTTCGTTGCCCCGTAGTGGTTGGCGCCCCCCCCCACGTGATGGACGCGGCCAGTCCCCGGGACGTCCCTCACTCTGCTCTCGGGTGGCGTGGATTGGCCCGTGGTCTTCTGCACGTTCGACTGTCCATCGGTCGCGAGGCCGAATCGATCTCTGTTCCTACGACGCCTCATCCCGCGGAGCCGAGCCAAACGAGGCACCCGGCCAAGAAAATATACCACGCGGGGCTCCCCACATGCGCATCTCTGTTGCAGCAGGTTCTCTTCCTGTAGTGTCTGAAATGAATGAGTCTGACTGCGAGTGCGATTGAGTACGGCTGACTGAGTACAATTGTGTCTGAATTTAAGTGGGTCCCGGCCCAACTAGGAGAGGAGTCGGCGAAGCCAAAATCAAAGTGAAGCGTCCTCACAACTGGCGCGGACGGGCCCGAGTAACACACCCCCTTGAGATGCTCCATGTATAGCTCCCTGGGTTCCGCGACAAGCTCCCCACAAGGCGGGGCTCATGGAGAGCACCCGCTGGCTCTGCTGGCAACATCGCCTTGCAGAAACGGGGTTCCAGCTTGATACGTCCTCCAAACGCCGCCGCCCCAAAGTGTGGGGGGCCTTCTGCGGCCCAAAAACTCAACGAATCAACACCGGATGTGGAATCACTTGCGATGTTTTCTCCGCGGGCACTTTTTTTAGATTTGGGTCCTATTTGGAAGGACCGAAAACGCCCGCGCTGCAGCGGGAGCACGTTTTGGAACAACCAGAGGCGCAGTAATGGGGCCAGCGCTGCAGCGGGAGCAACATTTTGAAGGACCGACAAGGATCGGATTGCCCAATTACTCCGACGGAAGAACCCCACATAAGAATCCTCTGGGCGAATCTGGAAAAAAACATCACCGTCGTCCTCGTGGTTGGTGAGGCGTCCTGGCTGTCTCTTCTGCGTATATTTCCTGTCGCCTTGGCGCGGGCCCCCCTTCCACTCCTTACGTTGTCCCCATCCTCGCCCCCCTGTTTGTTCCGCGCCCCGCCACCTCCTCCCCTTCCTGTTGCATGAGCGCGCATGTCGATGTTCCTCGGCGCCGTCGCCGCCACGGCCAGCACAGGCGCGTTCTCTACTGGTCACGTCGCGCAGCCGTTGGGACAACCCCGCGGGCCAGGCTGTCGGGACAACCCCGCGAGCCGTTGGCGCGCAAGACCAAGCCGTTGGGACAACCCCGCGGGCTTCGAGCGAGGCGCAGCCGCGCTCAGGCGGAAGGCAGCACGAAGCCCAGCTCTGCCGCGAGCTGCTTCGCCTCCGCCCTGGACAAAACCGCTCTCTTGTCGAACTCCAGGAGCGCCTTCCGCAGGGACGCCGGCGGCCCGCACTCCAGGAACTCTCGCGGCGGCGGCCGCAGGATCAGCATGTTCCGCATGCACGTGGCGCGGGAGAACATGACGTAGAGGTGCAGCCACCACTGCTCGTCCGACCTGCCCGTGCGGCCAGCGTCCTCGTCTCTCGCGCAGTCGATGGTGACGCCCTTGCGCAGCGTCTGGCCCTGCGACAGCGTGGAGGTCAGGTAGGACGCGTGCGTCAGGGTGAACCCCGAGCGGCGCACGCTGTGCGCCCCCGAGCTCTGCCATGTGAACTCCCTTTCGCTGGGCCTGAACATCAGCAAGCTCCGCGCCCGCGCCTCGATCTCCCGCCTGAGACTTCCTCCCAGTTCACTCACAGACGAGGCTCCCGCCTGAGACTTCCTCCATATTCAGGTTTGAGGAGCTCAAAAGTGACGACGGTTACAAGGTTCCGATGACCCGCTCGGATTACCAACATGATCTGCGGGCCCCATAGGGAGGGAGCTCCCGCCTGAGACTTCCTCACAATTCACTCAGAGACGAGGTTCCCGCCTGAGACGTCCTCCAAATTCAGGCTTGACGAGCCCAAAAGTGACGACAGTTACAAGGTTCCGATGACCCGCTCGGATTACCAACATGATCTGCGGGCCCCATAGGGAGGGAGCTCCCGCCTGAGACTTCCTCCCAATTCACTCACAGACGAGGCCCCCGCCTGAGACTTCCTCCATTTTCAGGCCTGGGGAGCCCAAAAGTGACGACAGTTACAGGGTTCCG